TTTAAGTTGTGGTGAAGGATGCAGATGGTTGTACTGCAACTGGAGGATTGAGGTTTAAATCCCAGCTCAGTTGCTGTGTCTTTGGGGCAAGAAACCTGACCCAGATTGTTTTTAGCACTGATGGTCTTAGAGGACCCGGTAGTGCCCATTTATGGCAGCCTTGCTCCTGTCAGCGTGCCCTGAAGCAAATGTGGCTACGATGTATCAGTTTTGCTGATGATACTCTGCTATATTTTTCCATAAATCCTGACAAGTATCAACAATTTAAGGCATTGTTCATCCAGTTCTCCTGCTGAGTTAAATGTTTTAACACTTTAAAAAGTGTTATTTTCACTTGATTGTATGTGAACCTATATTATATGGATAATTTGCAAGTTTTTTCACTTTGAAATCATGGAGGGGTCTGAAATGGGCAGTCGTAGGGGCATGTCTACTGTAGGAGGCATAATCTGAAAAAAAAATACACAATATATTTTTTAACTATTTATTTCTATGATACAGCTGCAAATAAGTATTTGAACACCTGAGAAAATCAATAATTAAATTTGGTGCAGTAGCCTTTGTTTGCAAGACAATTTCACATCCCTCCATGATTTCTAAGTAAAATAGCAGGGTGTTCAAATACTTATTTTCCTCACTGTATGTATATTTAAAAAAGAAGAATGGTATCAAGCACACTCTTACTGTTAAGTGTTCCTGAGATTAACAGCCTAGGGGGAAAGAAAATGTCTCCATGGCAGCTGGTTTTAGCAAAAAGTGCTCGGCAGCCCTGAGTTGAAGTTAAAACTCTGAAACAGTTTGTGTCCATGTTTTGGTTCTACAGATATGTTAGCTGCCCTTTTTCTTGAATCTAGATTTGTACAAGTCCTGGATGGAAGTTATGTCCTGTTCATCCTCTCCTACAATTCCATAATGCTGCATGTGAAAATGTGTTTTTTTTTCTGGTGTATTTATTTTTCTAACCTGTGTTAAATTTGCTAACAAATTAAACATCTTGTCAAAACTGGGTTCTGTTAGTTTGTGTTCAATTGTTGTCTTATAAAGCGATTTGAAATATCATTCTATGATACAGAAGTATTCCCAAGAGCAATTTGTGAAGTTGTGCCACGTGACCCTAAACTGACTCAGCTGACTAAACAGTGGGCCCTGGGGCCCCTCTGGCAACACCACAATCAACTGCATACTAGTGTTCAGAATAATATATATATATATATATATATATATATAAAAAAATAGAAACAAGTGGTTAGGGCATTGCACTTGGATCCCAGAGGTTCTAAGTTCAAGCCCCACTCCCGCGGACTGCCACTCTGGATCAATGAGCAAGACCCTGACACGGCTCCTCGGGCACCACAGAATGGCAGCCCACTTCTCCCGAAAAGGATGGGTTAAATGCAGAGAGTTCAGTTTGTTGTGTTGTACTTGTGACAGTGGAATGACAATAAAGTTGAATTCAAATTCCTAGTTTTAGCTATGCTCTTGCAGAAAAATGATTTTTGGAATCAAGCACAGTCTGTTCAAAAGCAAACGATTGAAAATAAACACATTTGTGAAAATCGGTAGAAGTTGTGATAAAATAACTGGCTATTTAAAAAAAAAACATTATTTGTGTCTATGTGTATATATATATTTATATACTCTGTGTGTGTGTGTATATATATATATATATATATATATATATATGGATGGATGCAAATAATGTCATGATAATACGTAATATGAGTGTGTGTATGTATTGTTTTTTTTTTTTTTTTACAAACTGAATAAATTGCCGCATTCATTGAAAAATCCAGGATGACTGGAAAAAACCTTATCTGAAAATTTTTGAGTTATGCCTTAGAACTATGCTTGATGTCAAAATACGTACCAGACTAAAGATCAGAAACTGTTTTATGTTACTTGAGTCAAGATGCTGCCCATTATATTTATGGTCTGTTTCCTTGTTCAAACATTGTTCTTACACATATTTCTTCTAATGCAGCATAACCTCTTGAATTATGTGACATATTTGAATAAAATCATGATCCTTTGTGTGCAAATTAGATTGGAGCCACAATGTTTTGCATTAGAATAAACTGAGGCAAGAATCAATGTTTGGGGGTCATATGACAAAAAATGAACGTGACCCTGAGACTCCAAAATGAGCTTAGCTTCACATAGGCGTAATCAAATTGTTTAAAGTACCGGTAGTAATTGTCATTTTAATATTTATTCCATCCATTGGAATCAGGGTTTTCTCTTGTATTCCAAGTCATTCTGGTTTTAATTTTCATTACTTTTCTGCACTTGTTTTTTTGCCTTTCAAACCAAGTTTTTCAAACCAAGAAACAATGCACGCTCTGCTTCTAAAACTACATATTTAAGATAGACTGTCTAAGAGGAATGCAGCATAAATAGCATGGATCTTATTTCGTGAATTCATCCTTAAAAGGGGGTCACCTTTGATGTCTGTTTTTGCAGAATGAATAACTTATTCAAACAGCTGCTTGTATGTCATGGCTGTTTAGTCTGTAGGTTTTTGATTAATTATTCACCATGTAATTATCTAATATCTTCGAAAAATGGTGTTTACTTTATAAAAACAAAGTTAACTATAATATAGACTGCCAACATAGGAGTGGAAAATGTGTGGCAGTAGAGGGCAGCAATGTCATCTGAGAGAAGGATCACCATGCAGGAGGGCAGGAGGACGATGTAAAAATTTGTGGAAGCTAAGATCATTGTTTTCATTGACATTCTTCCTGAGCAATTTTGCAAAGTTACCCTAATAAATTTCAGCTTGACCTAATAACTCAGGCCATTTAATCTATAAACATTATATACTACTCATAAAATGTTTTTTCAAACTGATCTTTTTGCATGGTGTTGGCGAAGCAGAAAGAAAAAAAGTCTTCTAAGGGAAGGGTCGACTAAATTTGAAAATCTGATGTAAAGATAACTTCCACATGAACACACTAAAGTTTTATATTAAACAACTTCTCTGGATTTTTTTTGGAAATGTGAAATAACCGCATATGAAGAATGCTCTTCCTGCTGCTTGATCTGGTAAATGTCATGATTTTAGGTTTACTTCTGATGCACATGCAAGAAATCAGAATGTTCCAGGGTTTAGAGAAGGATCTGCTATAAATGGGCAAATCAGGTGAGCAGAGTGATATGAAGTGTTTTCTGCTTGGTAGGAAGTTCAGAATAGGGTGAGGATAATTCAGGGTCCGCAGTGGTTGTATTAAGGTAATGGAGAAAAGAGCAGCAACATAATGTTTGCTGGAGACTGAGGTAAGAGGACAAAACTTAGAATTATGAATGAAAGGCCAGATGACTTACAGAGAACGTTGAGGTGTTAATTAATAAGCAACCAGCTCCTTCTACCCCTAATTTATGCTTCTGTGCAAACTATATTTATCAACATTTGCCATTTTAATTTGAGTTTTTAATAATTATGATATTTATGTATTAATTTGCATTGCTAAAATGCTGTACTTTGGAGAAAGTTAATGCGGAAGAAGAATCAATCCAAAAACTTGACTGAATAGAAAATTTGTATTGTGTGGAAGCTATAGTGTTTAACAGTGTGTTTTCTGTCTTTAAAGTTTTTAAAGTTTTTGTAGTTTTATTGACACGTTTATCATACACCTATTTTTCTTCAGCGTGTCTTTCCAGGGACATATGCAGATTATATCTGCTGCTGAACAGAACACAAAGCTGAGCATACAGAGAGATAAATTAATGTACAGTATTTGGGGCCCTTCTCTGAATGGTTAGAAACACAATTTTTGGGAATGGTCTAGTCAAAGTCTGGAATCAAATCTGATTGAAATGCTGTTGCCTGAACCTAATTTGCCTATTCACTGTTAAAAACTATCAATAACATCTTAAGTAAATCAGATACATCTTTACATCCGTTGTTAGCTTCATAGGTAACGTAAACTTTCACCCAAACTCTGGTTTGTGTTTTTTTCTTCCCATAATGAAATCAATCATCATTTGAAAAAGGGAAAAAAAAACATTTTTTTTTTTCATTTCTAAATTTATCTGGGTCTGGTATTAAAATGCGTTAATGTTCTAAGACTTTTAAAGGTTAAATTTTTGCTCACTGCTCTATATGAAAATCTCAGACCAAACAGCACCTAATAGAAACAATGAAGGAATAAAAGAGGCATAATTCGCTTTGAAAAGGAATGTTTCTCTTCATTTGCCACCTGAGGCTCAGTCATTGTCACTTTCAGCTCACTTGCTGCTGTCATTGTTGTCACGTGTCGCCCTGCTGCCTTGACCTTTAAAACTAACGACCCTACTCCCTCCAACATCTTCTCACGCTTCATAGAACTCAACACAAATAGAGCCATGGCTGTCGCCTTATGAGGCCTGACAAGCAACGCTGCTCCTCCATCTTTCACAATCGTCAATCTGTCTATGAACATCACTGTATGACTCACAAATAAAAGCTCTCCTCTTCATACCACATAACTTATTTCTTCTCAACATGTTCTCTTCCTGCTGCTGGACATTGGACCATTGTCTCATCTCTATGCAGAAGTCAGGAAGGGGAAAAAAGGCAGCTCTGTTGCCAGAAGCCATCCCACCGACTCAGAGGGGAATGGATTTAACTTCAGGACAAAAGGCCTGGTTATATTTCACCGCAGGACGGTCTTTGTGCCTCTGAATCAGCTAACACTGAGGCTGTGTTTGCTGCTTGCTCAACCTGTCCGTCTGCTATAATCTGACGAGCAGGTCTTATTTAGGGAGATGCAGCAAAAAGAAGTCCGTCGGGAGAGGCGAAGGTGGGGGTTGATTGATTTTCTGCAGACACACACAGGTTTACACAGGGGCTTTTTAGCTTAAAGAGAGCTCTATCACTGCACATTTCTCTCACCCGGGTCTGGATTTGCTGGGAAGGAAAAGGGTGGTGGTGGGGAGGGGGTGGCAGTGGTTGGAGGGGTCTTTTCACTTCTTTTTGGAGGCAACAATGGTCTTTGTTTGAGATCTTCCACCATTCTTATTAGAGCTACCAAATAGGAGGAGGAGGGAGGTGCAAGAAGAAGGCTGTTTCTCCATAGTAACAATGACAAAACAAGGCAGTTTAGCACTGGGAAGGCAAAGGGGGGACTGCTGTCAGACACACGCAAACTCCTGCAGGAGAGCTGAAGAACAGGATCAGGTTTTACTTTGTTAGAGAAAGTTTACTGAGAGGTACCAAGTCAGAGATGGACCGGGACAGTCACAGCGAGGACACGCTGTCCACCATGGTTCTGGAGAACGTTAAGAACAAACTAATCCATGCCTTTAGGGTGACCACAGAGTCCAGAGTCGATCCAGGAGAGTCTGACTGTGGCGACAGGTCGATGAGCATCAGGAGGAGTCGCCAGGCGAATGAGGAGCTGAGGCGGGCGCAGATAGATGGAGCTATAACCTGGTTGAGATCCGAACTGGTGAGATTTAACAATTTCATTCAGTTTGCAGATTTTACTTTGTCCTTTCCTGAAAGTTTCTGTAGAAATCATTTATTATGAATACATAATTTCAATAACTGCTTGAAAGGAGTTTCCCATATAATGATGCAGTTTTGTATTCATTATTTTACTCAACCCTGTAAATAATCATAAATTATCTAATTTACTTAATATATGTAATCCAAAATGTCACTGAATAATTTGTTAAAATAAGTACTTATTTGACTGGTTATTTAGATCTAATAGTGTTGAATACATTATATAAATAAAAAGTGTCATCATTATTAAGACTTTTTTTTTTTACTGATTTAGAAAAGATGTTAATTGAACAAATTATTTGGTCATAATCTAAACAGAAAATTCTGTTTCTAAATCTATATTAACATATTTATCCGGATTTCTTTTTACCATTTTAAAAAGATGTTCAATTTAAAGTTAATTTGCAAACATTGTAAAGTATTTGAATTAAATAAGAGCAAAAAATACAGTTGGAAAAAAGTACAAAAATACAATAAATTGTATTTATACACCTAGTTTTTGTATTTAATATATTTATCAAATACATTTAATGCACAGTTTTTAACCACTAAAATCACTTATATTTTTTTTTACTTTACTATTTTTCTATGAAGGTTATTTTTCATATTTTTTTGGCTCAGAACTATTTTGAAAATAGACTATCTCAATATGGTCCCATTTAAATAATTATTTGACATAAAACAAATACAACTATATTGCTGTTGCTTGCTGGTCTATAATATGTGCATTTTAGGTTTATTTTAATTATTGAACCTATGAATATGTAATTATCCACTTATAAATACATTTCAGAGTGACAGCTTTGGACCTGAATAAAATGTGATATTTCCCTGTGATCCTGTAGCTGGAAATGCGCACTCAGGACCTCCAGCTGGCTCAGACGCTGCTAGGGCTCAACTCAGAGATCCAAAGACTGAGGAGGGAGAGTTTTGGTGGGATGGAAGTGCAAGGGGACGATCAGCCATGAGCAGACCCCACAAGACTGCTTTTTATCTGAGAAGGACATAAAACTGAGGAAAGGAATCCATGAAGAGAGAAGAGAGAAGCACAGCTGTGAAACACTGAATACATTGTATAAAACAGAGTAGATCTGCTGCTTGGACACTAATTAAGTAAATAAAAAAACATTAAAGAAAAAAGCTTTGCACCTCTGCAGCCTTGTTCTATAGACAGCTATCTAGTTTCTGGAAAACACTTAAAGCAAATTATAATGAATGTAGCATTTAGGAACAATAAATAAATTATACAACATCATTGTCTCAGCATCTTTATTGAGCCAAGTAGTTAAATCAAAGGAGAAATTAAATGAATCCACTCCCTCCTTCTTTCCTCTTAAGACTATTTGGTTTATTCACCCTTTTCTATATGTGCTACTTGCATTTTAACAGATTATTATACATTAATTCTGGGACAGGACCAATAAAGGTCTCATGGAAGGTCTTTGTTGGAGAGAGCCATTCTAAACCTATTTAAACCTTTTGTCACCTTAGCAATTAAATTAGATGTAATTTATTAGGAAAGCTATCATAAATCAATACAGAGTAACAAGGAATTGCAAAGTAGAGGCAAAATGATGCCTGGTTTTCAACATTTAAATCTGACATGTAAAGCTAAGACCTGTGGTTGGTCAGTTTAACATGCATAAAAAGGGAAGAATCAGTGCAAAACAGCTTTGCAAGGAGTTTTAGTAATAATGTTTTACAGTGTTACAATCTTTATCTATGTAGAAAGTATGTTTGGGATTAGCTCAGAACATTTGTTTAGATAAAAACAACAATTTATAATAGAAATGTATTTCAGATATTTTGTATTATTTTTATATTCAGATTCCTTTTAATGCAAATGTACTTTAACACACCTGGAAGAGATTAGAATGTAATAATAATTAGCAAGAAAACCTTTTTAGCAAATGTAAACATGCACAGGCACCATGAATAACCAGTCCTCACCATTAGTACATAGAAAAATACTCTTTTATGTTGCTGATACCCTCCACCCCGTGTCGGATCGCAGAAGGACAAGCAACATCAAAGACTCAGCATAGACATCTCAAATAATCTAAAATATAAATTGATTATAATATTATGGGAGGAAGAAACCCGAAGAGAATTCCGCACGCAGACCAAACTTTGATTTAAACTCAGGACCTTCTTGTTGAAAGGAATAGTGCTTACATCTGTACATAACTGAACGCTTAGAGCTGAGTGTCTCCTTGCTGGAGCACACCTGACATATAAATACATGATTAACAGGCTCAATGGCTGTTAAGGAGGTTTCACAGTAATCTGATAAATGACTCTGATCTGTGCTGAAACAGAGACACATCAAAAACATGAAGGATAGGGTGCTTAAGGACTAAGGTTTGAAACCACTGCTTTAAAGTACCAATAAAAAGATTGTCCAAAGATGATGCTGGGATGTATTTGTGTAAGCAGATCTGCAAAGCAGCACAGAGGAATTTTCCCTAAAGATCTGAATAATAATAGAAAGGTTCTACAGGTCTGGTCACAAATTTACATACATGTTAGGATTTTTGTCTATATTTTCAGCTTTTTAAGATGCAATCAGATGCTTTAGTAAGTTTTAAAACATTAGATTATTTTGAAGTCAAAAGCTAGGATTTATTGTAGATTTTGTATTAAGCATTATACATTTAACCCATATACCGTTTTTTGTTGGCATAAATTTCGCCTGATGTTTGATCACTCATCATATTATAAAGTGATGGAACTGATTCAGATTTGTTCCATTTCTTGCCATGTACCCTGCTTTTAGGTATAGTCCATAAATCATTTTATTAAGGCCATTTCTGAAAAATATTGTTAGCCTACAGCAGGTATCTCCAAGTCCACTCCTCTAGAGGTCATGTCCTGCAACTTTTAGATGCATTTTTAAACAGGCATCCTTCAGCTCTGCAGAGGCCCTCTTATGTAGCTGATTCAATTCAGGTGTGTGGGTGAAGCAATCTACCTGGCGGGTGCAGAATGGTAGCCCTTTAAGATGTTACTTAGGCACCTTGGTTTACAGTCTCTATTCCAAACAGATTTGATGTGTTTTATGGTTATTGCTATGTTGGATGACCCAATTGTGCTCAGTTTTTACCTACTAAGCTGTGTATTGAAAATGAAGTTTATTATTTGCCAGACCCTCAGCATGACCGTGCCCCTACTGTACCATAACCTCATAGAATGTTCTTAAGTCACAGGAAAACCTCTCAAAAGTTAACATGACTTATACAACAATGGTAATAATCAGTAAACATCTGATCCAAGGTCCACATGATTTATTTTTCTTTTATTCTGTTTTACAGCCTTGGATGTGAGATAAATAAAATTTTCATTGAGGGTGTATAGTTAAAAGTATCCCAACAAATCTACCCTATATTTTTTTATGAAATACAACAAAACTGTACACATGTTTCAAACATTACAATTTCTTCCAAACTTTGAATCTCTAAGGTACAGAGCTTCTCCTGTGGAGCTTCTTTCCAGCTGTGCTACCTAAGTGAAAGGTCTGAGGCATCTTCCAACAGAGATAGTTGGTGTCAAATCTGCTGATTCCTTCCTCATTGTCAGAATCCCAACAGCTGCCCTCTTCTTCCTCCTCTTCTGTATCCTCCTCCTCAGACAGCTCCTGTTTTAGCTCCTGGATCCCCGAATGAAGGTGCATAAGCTGCCGGATCAGAGCTTGGTCCTGGGAACGCATCTCCATCTGCACACAGAGGAGAAACATTCCTAGATTGGAACTGTTGACAAAAAAAAAAAAAGATAAATGTCTGAAAATGTCTTTTTTCAGAAACTGGACTTGTTCACAATAGAACCAAAGATTTTCAATTTGCTCCATTTGAGCCATTTCTCTATTCAAATGTAAATTGTCACTTCTTTTTATAAGAGGGCGTCCAATTAAAGCCACTGTAAAATACGATTTTCAGAGTTTCCCAAATTCAAGTTTGCTTGAAAGAATTCAGGAATGTCTTGAACAAAAAGGTGGAGGACCGATCTGCATTTCTTTTCTGTGTTAATTACAGCTCCAGTCAAAAACTCTGTGCTCTGGCTGAAAGATGCTGGTCTTATTGCCTTTGTCAGAACTTGAATGAATTAGAGATAAAACATGAACTTTCCTTGTGGCGACGAGGGGGGGCTGGAGGGTTCCACCTCATTATGCCAAATGCTCGTTCCTTTCAGACACTGTGTTGGACACTTTCACTGTGTATGTGTGTTTGTAAGAAGGAAGGAGTTCATTGAGTATAAAGACTCAATCTGGAGGCTTCTTTGTTTTCTCCATAGTTCTTTCACTTGAAAAGAAAATTAAGACATGGATTCATAGTTCAGATGTGCTGCAGGGATCCAGTAAAAGAAATGTCTAAAACATATTGGATTCAAAACTTAAATGTTTTCCTCCCTCTATTAGAGGTAATCAAATTGTATTTGATGGTTAAGTTTAAAGTCTCTTACATCTTTAAAATGCTTTCTTTATTAATGGCAAGAATGTCAACAGCAAATCAAACTCCATTTGCCCATCTAACACATGCAAAAGAAATGACAAGAAAATTGCCTTTGCATGACGTTATGCTGTAAGCTGCTATTGCCAAAGTCACACAAGTATGTCCTGTTTTTTATGGAAGAGTAACAAGATGGTTGGTTTGGTTTAAAAAAAAGCAGCTCACAAGGGATCCATGCAAAATACAATAGACAAACTGAAAATATGTTAAATTCACTGTATGATATATATTGGACTAACAACCTGAAAACACGTTTCCACAGTAAAGCATGGCGGTAGTAGCAACATGATGTGTTGACTTGGTTGATGTTTTTACTAGTCACTAGAGTTACAAATTTGATGACTTGATTATATTAGAAAACAGTTTCAGCTCGGCAAATTCATTTTGACCTCATTTGGACTTGGGCCTCATCACGTTTAATCACTTGCTCTAATTACAGGTAAAATTTAACCAAAAATTTAGTAGTTAAATATTGATCCGTAAAGCATGTCTCCTTATGTCATTAATGTTTCACAGATACACATTACGGTCTGTTAATGACTTAAACTTTTAATAGCATGACTTAGCCTTATAAGCAACACCTTTTGCACAGTAGATTAACCAGTTATTGATGGCAATCGAAACTGGATGCTAACAGTTACAAAACATTTTTAAAAAGAAGAACCCGTGCAGAAGATTTACTCAACCTTTCAGGGCAATACTTATTTGCTTCATCTTGTGGTTTAGAAGTCAGACTTATATAAGGCTTACCAGCTCCATTCGCAGCCAGGCCAGTGCACTCCCTATGTCCAATCTGCTGCTTTCTCTTCCAGCTGTGCATATCCCTCTGTGGTAAGCGTGGCTCTGAGCATCTCTGCATGAACTCGCTTCTGATTGATTATTAAAGGCTGAAGTCTTGCAGGAGAAGTCCCGCAGTCTGGTCAGGACCACTTCCATCATCTAAGTTGGGTGAGATCCTCAGTTTTTCCCAATATTTCTCCTCTGGAGTGTCTTGTTGAAGACAGGCTGTTCACAGCTTTATCCGATCTCTCTGCTCCTCTTTCCTTTAAGGCTTCTTCGTTCCCCCATCCCCTCTGTTGTCTTCATCTTTTCTCTCTCTCTTTAAAATGTGATCCCTTCAAGTTTTCTTTTTGGCAAAAATAGCTTAATGTCGTCACCGGATAAGCAAATGTGATTGAGCCGGCCTGACGTCAGTTCATTGTCCAGCTGTCTGACCTGCAGTTGTTTACCACCTCTATAAGATGCACACGCTCAGTAATGATCAGGAGAGGACAGGGAGGAGGTTGGTGGTTGCTCTGACGACAGCTCTTGTGTGTCTTTGAAAAGACAAGGGCTTCATTGAGCTCCTGTCTCTTGTTTTATGTGTAAAATCTAAAGAACAGCGAGAACAGCCATGTGTAACTAACTGTTCCCATGCCATCTTCCTCCCTCCCTGCAGCCCTTGGCAACCCACAGCTCGTCTGTTCAGAGATACTTTGGAAACCTAACACAAACTCTTTCTTCGAGAGTACAA